CAACCATACTTGGGTAAAAACTGCTGTTTGAATTTTAACCCTGCTATTCTGGCTTCTGCACTTGCTTAAACATAGGGTAGTTACCTCAGCTTCCAGGTGGAGACCTGGAGGCTAAGGCAATTTTCCTGTGCCTGGGACCAGAGATACAGGAGATTGATTCCCACTGACTCAGTAGCTTGAGGAGTAGAAACTGTAGATAACCTTTAGAGATTGACCACTGAGCTCTGCTTTTGTACTATCTGCTATGGCAAAATAGGGCCACATTCCAATGTCCAGCAGGATGTGACTGGGAACGACCCTGCTGGATGTTCCCAGCCTTATTTAGAATTTAGAAAAAGGAAAATTCCTGTGGTTTGGACCTTTTAAAGGACTGCTTACACCTGAAACAGTGCGGTCCTGAGTGTGGCCACCTGCATGTGGTGTTCTTGAGGCCTTCCTGGCCAGTTCAATAAATCCTTGCCTGCTTTTTTAAATCAATCATCAGCCTCCGGTGGTCTTATTTTGCATCCAGGGTTCAACCCCACAACATTAAGTTGTATGAATACTTCCTATGTCACTTAGGCACTTTTTTTTGTTTTCATCTCATAGAGGTTCTAAGGAACAAAAAATGAAGGATAATCTCCAGGCTGCCAGTGGGAGGTGAATTTCAACATATCAGATTCTGTGTGGATTCACATAGGACCAGGGACTTCTTCTAGACATATGAGCTCATACCGAAACATGGGAAATGTAATCTCTGAGTTGGGGCTTAAAGATCTGTAGAAAGTATGTCTAGTACATTTTATTATAAGAGAATGAGTCCTCTGCTGCTAATTTATTTATTCATGAAACAAATCCTTTTGACACTTAACCAGGTCTTCTGCTAAACCATGGGAATACAGTGATGAATAAGAAAGACAAAATTCCTGTCCTCACAAAATGTGCACATTCTATTGGGGAGTGACAGACTATACACATGCAAATAATCAATGATGACACCATTTCAAGAGAGCCATGCCAATGCCCACCAGGGACACATTCACACAAAGTGGGATTTACTGGTACTGGATATACTTTGTGGGGAATTGTGGGGTTGGCCTCTCAATAATAGGAGGCAAGTAGAGGTTTCATAGAGATCCAGGCTTGTGTTCAATGACTTGGAGATTATTCCAGAAGTGTGGCTTTGCTCTAGCTTGGATGCATTACTGATACATGAGGTGGAAAAATAAAGCAGAAGTAAAGTGGTGGCAAAGAAGCAGCAGTCACTTACATTATGTGGGAAAGGGGACATGGGATCATTTCTATGGTTTGCAGTGTTCTTGTTCTTGTTTTTGCTCAGACATGATTGCAAAGTGGTTTTGTTTATTGTTTTTTGCCATCCTCCATAGAGTGACCTGTCTGAAGTTTAAGTTCTATAAAACTGTTTACATTTAACAGGAGAACACCACAACCTCATTGTTCCTGCCAGGGCACTATCAGATGAAGGCTTGTCAGTGGTTGCTTTAAAAAAATGAAGAAAAACAAAGCAAATTAAATGGAGATATTGACTCAGGGATAAATATATATTTTTTAAAGACAGAGTGTTAAGAAAAGGCTTCATTATGCATGCACGCATACATGTGCAGAAATCTAAATGATATGAAGAAATAAGCCATGAAAAGGCCTGAAAAACATCATAACAATTAAAATAATGGTTGATATGTTGTATTAATGAGACTGAAAATTGAAGTGTCTTAAATTAGACATTCATTTCTCTTTCAACAGTCTGGTTGGTCCAGCATGGTGAGACAGCTTTGTAGCACAAAGTAGGCAAAGGCCTTGGGCTCTATTGATCAGAGTCATCCTCAAGAGAATGGTATCCATTTGTGTGGTTAAAATAAATTCACATTTAGGAAAAAAACAATTAGGAAAAAGCAAAATTCAGGGGATGAGGGTTCTCTTTAAGTTATAAAAGAGCCACATGTTGTACACATTTTTTCCCACTGAATATTTGATTGGCTCCAGCAGTCATTCCTAGTGATGAGTGGGGGTGGGGACTGGGAATGCATCTCTAAGTGGATGTCCTATGTGGTCAGCAAAGAGGGCTTTTCTGACAGAGAGCTTTCCAGGGAAGAGGTGTCAGCAGCTGCGAAGGTTAAAACACGGAGAAACGAGCTGGATGTGTTAGAGGAATAACAAGAAGCCAGTGTGACTGGAGGAGAATGAGTGGAGTTGGATAGAGAAGCAGGCAAATGCCAGATCATTTAAGGCCTTCTAGGACAGACTTTGGGTTTTATTCAAAATGTAATGGAAAAACATTGTGGGATACTGAGGAGCAGTGTGTGGCATTATCTAATTGTGAACATTTATTCAGCCATATGAATGTAGATGGATAACAATAATAAAATGTAGAGAAGCTAGGAAGAAATTGCCATAGTCCCACGGTGAGAACTCATGGCTAGGGCAGTAGTGGTGCATGTGGCAAGAAGTAGGTGGCCTTAAGATGTATTTTGAATGAAAACCCAACAAAAGTCCTAAAGGGAGAAATGGTAAGTGTGTGTTAAAGGGAAGAGTTAAGAATGACTACTAGGTTTTCAGCCTGAGCAGGGTGTGGGACAATTTACGGAAATGAGGGTGCTAAGGAGTGAACCTCAGAAGAGAATATAGACTAATTCTCTATTGAAATGAATGGTTCCTCCATTGAAATGGGAGAGTGAGGGTAAATGCAGAGTGGTGTTACATTTGGTGGTAAGGAAAATATGCAATTTTCTTTTTATTGCTTTTAATCTTTAGTGAACTAATTAGAACATCATCTGATGTGAGGAGACTAATGAATGTTGCGATTGGAAATAGGAAAAAAGGTATAAAACAAACTTCAGTGATAATTATAGGCAAAATTCATTAGGCAGATGTAGTAGGAGTTCAAGGTAACAGTAAAAACTTGAGATTTGTGATCAGAAAATTTAAGTGTAATTTTTCAACAGCACTGAGTGTTTTTTTTGTTTGTTTGTTTTTTGTGTGTGTGTGTGTTTTGCTTTTTCCAGCTGTGTTCAGCTTCTCAGGTGAGGCCAGAATTGGGGGAGATTTCAGTTTAATAGCATTTTCACAAGCTTATCTAATGCAGCACAGACAGTTGAGGGACGTAGGGGAATGATTTTAATGTGGACTATAGAATCTGGATCAAGTAACTAGCAAAGTGTGGGCATAAGTAGAAAGTGACCAGTGAAAAAAAGTGGAGACAATGGGTTAAATGGGATCATAAATGTTGGAGTGAGTGTCAAGTTATATGAACTGGAGACAAAATAAGATATTTACAGAGTAGAGTGCTTAAAATTGAAACTTTAGGGAGGCCGAATTTATTGATAGTGAAAAGTTCTGTGATATAACCGTGGAAGTGATTGGGTGAGATGAAATGGATAAAGTGTTTATTATCAGAAGAGGAGATGTAAGAGACTGGGGAGGAAAATTATTGAATAGATCTTCTACAAGTATGTGGAGGTCCTCAAGAATAATGAATGAAACAAATAATTAATTAGGAGATAAGCAGGTTTGGTGTTTTTTTAAACATAGAAGGTTAATATGTAAAATTATATTATGCTCTATAGTTTTGTGAGGGAAAAGAAAAAAAAATGGCATGAACGTGGCCAGAAAAACTGTTACATTTAGCTATTAATATGCCCTGGGCAACTTTTTCAGCATTTTACATATATTGGACTACTTTGTATCATTCTCCACTACTCATTTACTTTCCACATTTTGCAGCTGAATTAACAAGTTATGTAAATTGCCCGAGGTTACTAGTGAATGGTGAAGCTGGATCTGGGCATTCTGACTTCAGAGTATACAGTCTAGTCACTACAAAACACTTTCCCTCCTTAGGATCAATGTTTCGGCACTTTTCAATGTTGAAGTTTATGAGATGGTTAAGATGGTGGGGTGGTGTTTGTGAGAAGGCATGATTTTAACAGGAAAGCCCTGAGATGGGTGGGCTGTTCTTAAGTAATAGTGAGTGGGGTTTAGGCTGGGGAAGGAACAATCTCATCAAAGGTCATGGAGTCCTCAGTGTATCTTAATTCCAGAACAATTTACTCCCTGGTACCTTTCACAGATGGACCAGGCTGCAGGCCTCTGAGGAGTGTTCTTCCTAGGCCCTGTAAGACTGAGAGTCTAGGATGTCCCTACTAATGGTGAAAGGTAAGGACCATGATGGTTTATGAGACTCACCATAAATGTGGTCTCAAACAAAACTTATGAGGATTCATTTCCAGTATTCCTTTTGCCTCAAAAATTCCCTCCCAATTAGGAAAAATAATAATAATAATAATAACCCACGCATATTTATTGATGATGTTAAACATGTAGTTATTATTTACTAAATCATAGTGGGGGGAGCCTATAAATTATAATCCTTCTAATAGAAGTTAATCTTCAGCCTGCACGATGTGGCGAGGTGGTTGAGCATTGACCCACGAATCAAGAGGTCACTGATGGATTCCTGGACAGGGCACATGCCCAGGTTTCGAGCTTGATCCCCAGTAGAGGGCATGCAGGAGGCAGCCAATTGATGTTTCTATCTCCCTCTAAATTCAATAAAAAACATATTTATAAAAAATGTATCAGAAAAACGTGTGTTACCTATGGCTTATTTTCTCTTTATTTGCTAATTAGTTCATTTAACAGGAAAACAAATTCAGTTGCAAATCATTTATTAAGATAGGCATAATGGTCAATAGTTCATGGATTATTCTTTTAAGATGATCCTATTTTATCACTATTACCTCCCATAACTGAACGATTCAGGCATTGAATATTGGGGGGGAAATGTATATCTCTCAAAAACATTCAGTCAAATAATAAAAGCAGTACTGTTACTTTTGGGGAGTTAATGATACTTAGGATAGACTTTTCTGTAGGACACTATTATAATCTCTCACAATTTGGTTTAAAATGTCAAACATTTTGACTACCCATTAAGTGCTTTTCCAAATTAGAAAATATTATATATATGACTTAATTAATATCTACTTCAGCTATACACAACATATCATGCTCAAGATGTAGATTTATTTGAACACATTTAGTCCAATTTCTATTAATCAGAAAAGTCACATCTAATAAACCACAACTGTAGAAGAAACATTTGCACACAGATGTAATTTGATATTTAATTAAGGAATGATAAGTCATGTTCACATGGAAGTAATATATCTAACTTCTCAATAGTAGTAAGAATCTCTTTTGAGGATGTAGGGTCTTCTGGGTTTATTCTTATATAATTGCCGTTTTAGAATGTAAGGAATTTTTCTCTTTATAACTTCTTCCTTTTCATTTTTGTCATTTCCATTATCAAGAGCATCTTCCTGAATCACCTGCAAGATAGACAGAAATGAATGAAACTTACATGCATGAAATATTCCATCTCAGAGTGTTTTTTTAATATCTTCTCTAATTTATGATTCAGACAGTAAGACATATGTGAATGAGGTTAAAAACAATATGTTTTGTCCAAGAAGAGGTGGCTATCAGGTGGCTGAGAAAGAGTGAGAACACAACATTTCAGTATTCTTTCTAGTTCATCAAGATCACACAGTAATAGATGTGCTCCAGTTGAAGGAGCACATCTAATAGAACTTTGAGTATTTTTCAGGCCTCAATTTAGACTAAAATGTTATTGAAATATATCATAAATCATAACGAATAGTTTTTAGTCTAGTAAAATAAGTTTGGCTTGAAAGATCTACATGATTTTATGTTCAATTAAGTTATGTACTGGCTTGACTAGCAAACCATTCCAAATATTAATTTCTCAATCATAGAGAGAATACAAACTAACATACTTAGTCACAGAAGCTAACATATATGGAAGTTCTGTTTAAATGGTAATGATCTCTTTAGATTGTGATGCTTAATAATGATTTAGCTGCTAAGGATGCCTAAAATCCACACATTCAATTGAAATAGGTATATATATATACCTATCACTCTGGTCTTATTTGCCTAATCTATTCAAATGCTAATGAAACTTTTTGTGTTTTGTGTTTGTTTATAGATAAACACACATGACTTAGATCTTCTAAGAAAACATTTTGAGTTGCCTAAATTAGTTAGGCAGTGCTACCACAACCACTACCAAAACTTGCCTAAACCTGCCATCCATTTGTTTAGACTAAATCTGCCTTAATATATACCCTCCTTTTAGGATTAAAGGAAAAATGTTTTTCTCAACTCCAAATATTGGAAGGATCTGGGGGAATGTTAATTTCAACACATGATTTATTCTTTTTTTTTTTAAAGATTTTTATTGATTTCAGAGAGTAAGGGAGAGGAAGGGGTGGGTAGAAACATCAATTATGAAAGAGAACCATTGATTGGCTACCTCCTGCATGCCCCCTACTGGGGTTGAGCCAGTAATCCGGGCATGTACCCTTGACTGGAATCAAACCAGGTCCCTTCAGTCTGCAGGCCGGTGCTCAATCTACTGAGCCAAACCAGTTAGGATGATTTATTCTGTTTTTTATATTAACGTCTTCCTGTTATGATAATGATCAGCATTTTTTTAAATTGCTACAAATGAGAGATAACTTAATTATATCCCATGTAATAAATGGCTAATATACAAATTGGCCGAATGGTGGAACAACCAGTTGCTGTGATGCGCACTGACCACCAGTGGACAACACTCAACACAGGAACTGTCTACAGAAGGAGCAGCCACTCAGTGAGAAGCCGGGCTCACGCTGGTGAGCAAAGTGGCAGCAACTTCTCCTGCCTCTGCAGCAGCACTAAGGATATCCAACTGCTGTGCTCCCCATGGGGAGTGGGCCCAAGCTGGCAATCCAATATGCCCCAAGGGCTCCCAGACTGCAAGAGGGCGCAGGCCAAGCTGAGGGGATCTCCCCCCACCCACCAAGTGCACGAATTTTGTGCATCAGGCCTCTAAGTACATATATATTGTGTTTTGTTTTACCTCCCAGTGTTGAAAGGCCCTGCTGTGACAGATATTTCGGATCTGGTATATTGTCAGCATTGCTTCCAAGCTAAAGTCATCTACGGCAATGGGAAATTTCCTTCTTGTAACAAGGTCCTCTCCATGAAACTCTCCTGTTTCCTCAGCTTGTCCATCCAAGTTATTTATAAGGCTGCAAAGACTGAGCAGAGTCATTTTCCAAGAGGGAATACTTGCCCTACTGACCTGAAATATAAAAGATAGATATTGCATTTAAAACTTATATGAATAAGAAATAAATTTGTAGTGTGTTAAGTTACTACATTTTAGAGTCTAAATGTTACTTTAGTCTAATAAATACACTGTCATTAATTTTATCACTTCATATCACAAAGTTGAATAGGGCCGATATTCTCTATTCTCATACTCTCTATTTTAAAAATTGCAATAAGTAATACACACACATGCACACATACATGAGCAATGAAAGAAAGAATAAAAGAAATGACAGTAAGTAGAAATATATAAATATATATGTATATCATATCACAGGTGAAGACATTAAATATACCATTTCTTCTTAATTACACTTCAGTTTAGAGTCTAATGGAACAGGAACTAAGGTGTTATTATTAGATTTGGAAAATTAGAGAGGTGAGAGACCACTAATCTATTTCACACACTGAGATGTCATAGGCAACATCACAGCTCACCAATTTATTAGAAAATTATAATATTCTCTATATCTTGTCTTTTAACATTATGACCGTAATCAACCACTATCCCGTGTGCCAACTATAATCAATGATAAAACATAAGGACAAAGTAGAACCTAAATGTGACATAATAGTAAAAATTAAGAAATATTTCAAACAGCATAGATGAAAGAAAGCACAATTTTTTTTTTTCCTAAATGACATAAAAATGGAATGACTACTAAGCTGTGATGGAAAGACTCAATAAAAATAGTTTCGGGTGTCAATTCTCTCTGAATTATTCTCCAACTGTAATCCAACTGAAAATCAAAGTTCCAATATGAAAAATATGGGGAGGCTGGAAATTAGAGAGGCTATTTGTCAAAATAATTATAAAGTTAATTGGGAAGTATGAATGTGTGAGTATAACTACAAGGATTTAGAAAAATAGAAAGGTAATGAGGAGGAACTTACTTTATCAGATATTGAAAACTATTTTTAAAACTTCAGGACTTAAAGGAGTGAGTTAATAGAGCACGAATAAAAATAAAACTCAACAGAAGAGAATATAATGTTCAATAATAGATCAAAATATATATGAGGGTGTAGCATAGAGCACAGTTTTCATTCGAAATCCTTGGGACAGTTTGGCTATGAGGAAATTTGATTTAGAGCTAATAATATTTTTTCTTGACATATTATAATCTAAATATACAGATGGATTAGATATAAATAAAATAATGTTTAAACATATACAATTCATTTTACAAACTTGGAAAGGTTTTATTAAACAAATATCCAAACCAAAATCCATAAACAAGAAGATAATTTAAATAGATAAATGTGTAAGTTATCTTTCTGGAAAATTAACATCCTGAGCTAAATAAAGAACAAGCTATCATGTAAAAGTTGACACAATGTGTTAATATTCTTAACAAAAGTATAGCTTTTCAAAAAGAAAATGCTGAATATCACAATTTTAAAAAGTAAATTTTAACATTGAATAAGTAATGTGAGCAAACAAGTCACAGAATCACACATGAAATAAATGTGTGGAATGAAGTTCATCTTGGCTACCATTAGGTCAGACTTTAAAAAGCACAAGTATGCTCAATAGTGTACTATGGAGACCTTTCTTAATAAAAGTATGCCAAACTAGCAAACATAATTGTATGTACACAGTAAGGATCATTGTAGCTAAAACGTGCTCATCCATTTAGAGAAGAGAAACTTGAGGTGACAAGACCTAAATTGGAGCTTTGCTTCAGAAATTAGACAGGAGCTTTCTTATCATCACGTCCCAGTGTTATAACAGTGACTGATCAGGTGAGGCTTCCCCTCAGCATTTGATTTTCTTTAAAAACATCTTTTGGAGGGAGCCCTGTTCTCTGACTCTACAGGCAGATGCCTACTGGGTATATCCACACAGTGTGGTAGCACATAAACAGGTCTATTCTAATTGAGTTTTATTCCTGGGCACAGGTTACCAATAGGAACCTTGTTTTCAAGACCCAAGGAGAGGAATAATAGGGTTCAGTATACAAAGTTTTACTTAATTCAATAAAAACAATGAGCGGGTACAGATAACACTTCTGTTATAGGAAGAACTTAAATCCAGGCATGAATTTAATGTTAATGTCTAGGAGGTCATAGCTCCAACCACAGCATTTAAAAATAAAAGATAAATGAAAGCAACCAGTGGTAACTACCCACTTCCTTAGGAGCAAATAGTTCATAAGTCATAGTTGCAGTATTAAATCTCAAGGCTTCTGTTTGCCACTCTGTTGCTCTTTACACTCTACCACATGCCTTTCATGGATTGTCATGAGCTTTCATTTTTAATTTAGGAACTCCATTTTACTTTCCCTGATATAATAAAAAAAGGCAAAATGTCACTGAGTTCTCATTTATACATTTAACTTGAGGCCAATATACCTTTCACCACATAAAATTTGGTAGGAATGGAAACAGTATTCCTTTAAACACATGTACCCATCCACATAAATAATATGTGACTATTTAATTAAAGTTACAATATACTGATTGATAGCCACTATTATTTCTTTCCCTGTCACATCAACACCCTTAACTCCTTTGAACTCAAGGAAAAGTTTCCCGAAAAAGGAAATGCCTCCCAATGAACATTTCAGCCTTTACGGGAAGTTATTACTATGGGAAAGGGACACCAGTTTATAATGAGAGTCCCTATGTTTCCCAATCCATAGTTAAAAAAAAAAAAGCTTACCCTTGATGTGTGCACATTGGTCAATAAATCTGCTTCGAATGCTTTCATTTCCTCTTCAGAGTCTGAGTGAAATCAAAACCACATGTTTACTATATAATCACATATCATATAATTATATTGTAACCTGCAGATTTTAGATTTATTTTTTAAAAATTACTCTTAGATGCAAGCTCTTTCCTATGTATGCATTCTGCTTAAAATAGTAATCACAAATATTTTGTAGGGTTTTTTTTTTTTAGGCTAAGAGGCAGTCGGAGTAATAGAAGCACTTGTAAGAAAATGAGCTCATGATTATATGGCAAAGGGGCTATTGATGATTTGGAGTTATTTAGTCTCTAAATATCAAAGTTAAAAAAAATCAACTGATTATATCGTATAATAGAAATGTCATCATATATGATGGTCCATTTTCACCAGCAATAGTTTACATATACAGAATATATGCACACTGATATTTCTAAAAGCAGCATCATGAAAAGGTGTATGCAGACTTTTAAGACAAAAACAAACAGAAGAGAATTGCTTACTGATAATTTTAGAATAAATAAGACATTCAGATTTACTTAAGATGCTGCTTTATAAAACACACTTAGAAACATGTGTTTGTCTACTTAAAAAAAATCCAAGCATATGTACTTATCAACTTTATAACAGTCCATTAAGAAAATTGCTTAAATAAAATGCATGTCCATAAAAACATGTATGATAGCATTAAAAATGGATTTCTGATTTTTTAAAAGACTATCATTTTCAGTTTCCACTAATGAATATTCTACACACACATAAGACTGTAAGGTAATAAAAAAAAAGTTAAAGAACACTACAATAAAATGACTGAATCAAACACACTGACATGCATCTCATAAAGCAAAGCAGAAATTAAAGAGGCTCTATCTTCTTTGCACCACCCACTCTCACTAAGAAGAAGTGTGGCCCTGGGAGAAACCACTTGCTAAATTGTATCTACAACTAAATTATACCAGAGATCATTTTCTCCTATTATTTTAGGGGCACAATCTATTTTTCAAAAGAAATAAAAATCACTTTAGGCATTCATGAAAATTTTTTCCTGGAATCACCATAAAGTTTAGCTTATCGCAGAAAGAACTTCAAATGTTTATGGATGAAATATTTAATCAATAATCAAGTTTTACTCACATGCTCTAAGTGTACCCCTCACCTCTTGCAATTATTAGGTAAAAACAGAACTTTAGAAAATGTGGTATTTATCTCATTTAAAAATTTGCAAAGTTACGAGTTCAAGGTATTTTAAAGATAAAAAAATAAAATTTTTGATAAGATTTATATCTTCTGCTAGTATAAATTTCATAATTTAAGTGAAATCACAGAAGTTTAAATTAAACATTTCAATGTCATTTCTATCAGGTAAAAAGTATAAAACAGGTTAAATTATTTTTCCAGCATTTAGTCTCTGTTTTCTTTTTCATTTTGATGTGATCATTTAATTATTTTAAAAATTAATTTAAGTATATTGCAGTCAGTATAGTTTTGATACTCTTCTAGATTTAAATCTCGTTTTTAAGATGAATTATTGATAATTACTCAGAAATATATGGCTTCTCCTTAATTATCACATTCAAAACTAGGTAAATACTTTTAATTAATATAAGACTGTCAATTTTCCAAGTATATTTGTATCAATTTAATCGGCATGCAATAAAAGGTTGACTATTATTTGTCACATAAAAATACTATGTGAAGTATATTCTCAAAAAGGAATATTTTTGTATTTTTCTAGAAATAATTATTTACAAATAATGCTTCATTTATTTATTAATTAATCATCAATTGCCACATTGTTTCTTGGCATATACACACACAGATCAATCATTTGGAGAGGGAGAAGCCCCTGCCTTCTAAGAGAATGACTGGGATTGAGACAAAGCAGTTGAATGGCATGGGTTTTCAGGAAGGCTTCCCACTTTGACAGGCACTGCATCTGTACTTCTCATTAGATAGTGACCAGCCTAGATTAAGTTTCAGATGTCATTTTATTTTCTCTAGTAATTACGTTCCAAAGAAGGGCCTGAAGTGTTTCATTAAAATCCCTCTTATTGCAGGGCAGATTTAAAAACAGCAATCTGTTCGTTCTTATAATCATGAAGACAGAGAAAGAAAATATCCAGCTTCTATCACTAAAAAGCAATTCCAGAATAAGGGAGAAACTATCCTCCCTGGATACATTAATGTAAGCAGCAACACGCTACAAAATGGGAGAAAGAAATCACTTCAGGCAGCTATGAGATGCAGCTGAGCTTACCTGAGCACAGACTCCAGGAGGTGAAAGACAGGAGCATCATGCAGACCAGCTGGATTTTCATTCCTGCCATCCTCTCCTTGAGATTCCTAGGAAGCCAAGTTCATAAACGTCAGACAGGCTGAAGGGGAGTCTCTGGTGCTTCCTCTTGCCTTCAGCTGATTCTGAGAGTGACTGAAGTATGAGGGTTGCTTTGACCATTACCTATATATATACGTGCATGCAGGAGGATGATGTCATGAGAGCATACAGGGATTATCCTTTCAGGATGTGCCCTCCCTTCATCTCCATTCCTCCCCCACTTCCTCCTCTTCTTTTTCTCCTTGGCCCCCCTCCTCTGAAAGTGACATCTTCCCTAATTGCAGCTGCTACTCCAGATTTCCGACACTCAGAAGGAGTCATTCCAAAGCAATTCCAAAGAGAACATGCTAGCAAAGAACTTTCAGTACAATTGCTTCCCCATTTCCTCTCATTCCTTGACTCAAAGAAGTTGTCATTTTCATTTTGTGAAGCAGGAGATCTGTCATTTCTAATACCAGGAACATCCTGAGGATGAATGTCTGACATGAGTGATTCTTTAGCTTTGAAGTTCTTAAAGAGTTAGGGTTCTTTTCTGATAACTCATTCTGATAAAACTTTTCAATGTTCTGTGGTTTCAAAACTAATATAGGTCTTAGATAACACCTGCTAAAACAAGGAAAATGGTAAAAGATCAGCAGAGAATAAGTTGTAATATTGCGGCTAAGCAAAGTAATTTAGATAAAGGAAATAATCAGTTAAAAATACTAGTAACCCTAAGGAATGGGATATCATTTCCTAACAAATTGAAACGTTTGTTTATAATAAGTAACTGGGAGAATAACTTAGTTACAGTATGTATGCTGACTTTTGATTATTTTTCTTAGGAAAACTATTTCATGGTTTTAAAATCCAACTATAAATTATGTGTTAACAGGTGGGAAAATGCATTATTGTTTCACTGATTGCTGTTTTGTGATATTTTCCTCCTTTTCTGTCATCTTTGATTCTATATCCTATTCGTTGTGTAATGTCCTTCTCACTGGTTTTCACCATTACATTATATTTCTTTCCCTTAAGTCATAAAAATGAGACTGAACTTCAGGAAATGAGACAATCCTAAATAGCCACTGTTCACCAAAGGCACATTTCTAAGAGAGTGCCTTCATGTGCTTCATTGTTACAAAAAAATTGCTCCAAAGGCCTTTTGGAGTGAAGCAGTCCTCTTGCATTAAGTATTTCAGGAACATGGAGTCATCTGCTGTCCGGAATGTGAATATTTGAAGGTAAAGGTGTCAGGCTTGTTCACTCTTTAAATATATCAATCATATGGTAACAAGCAAGAAAAAAATCTGAATTTATTTCAACAAAGATTTTATATATGTGGCATATGTCTGTGAGATTAGCTTCTCCGTTTTGCCTTAAACTTAAGGAAAGGAATTAATTTGAATAATTTAATAATTTATTCTTATAATGTAATGTTTAGAAATTTAACAATAGCTGATGCTTTTGCTACTTTTATTTTTCTTTACAAACTTGCATACAACACAATATTGAACATGACTCACTTGAGCAAAGTTTTATATAAAAGCTATTAATAATTAACTGGCAAACTAAAATATATACATCTGCAATTTTATCTATTGCCACTAGGGGGAGAAATAGAAGTTTAAAAGGCTTTATTTTTAAGTAACTGATCACAGAATTATGAGTATTTTGCTTAATTTCTTCTCACTATCTGAGCATTTTCTTGATAGAAATCTTTTAAAGCTACTTTTAAAGAAGTTATATATTCTTCTCATGGCATGTAAATGTGCTGTTTTGTCTTCTTTGGAATTGCAAATACAAAGAATAATGTTTTAGGATGTATGCAAGAGGCCTAGTAGTAAAAAGGAAATGTGATTCCTATTTTCAAGTGATTTCTCTAATATGAAGCTAAGGAAAATGTTGACAAATTTTATTCCTAATTAATTAGAAAAAAAGGGACAGAATGAATAAGAAAATTAATTTTGTTTTAAATATATCACTTCAATATTACTTGTCAATGTGAGAATTATTTTAAATAAAGAACATATTTGGGGGAAAATGGGGAAATGTCAAATGACTCAAAATCAAATAGATGCTATGTACTGTTTTTCTTTTGGGGGGAAAAAATATGTGTAACTTTTTGTGGCCTCTAATTGGTATTTTTAAAAAATCTGTTATTCTTTTCCTTTTCAACATCAATGCCTTTGAGCTATAGAAAAAAATTAAATAATTTGTTTTAGAAGGTTAGGTTACCTGTAGATATTTGCCTTTCAAAAAGTATTCTAGGGCCCCACCGTGTGACTAGTGGTTAATTGTGGTTGACCCATGCTCTAGGTCCTAGAGTCTAGGAAGTCACTGGTTGAATTCCTGGTCAGCGCACATTCAGGCTTAATCCCCAATAGGGGGCATGCAGGAGGCAGAGGTTGATGATGTTTCTCTCTCATCCATGTTCCTATCACTCTCCCTTTCTCTAAAAATCAATAAAAACACACACAAAAGTATTCTAGGAAGCACCCAAATTACTATGTCATTAATGCAGGATTTTAGGAACCTATCTATGGAGATGAGTAAACTACTTTTATTTTAAAGACTTTGCCTAAAATCCTTCTATCTTTTATTTAATTCTTTAAATAACTCATAAAGAGCTTGAACATTACCCTTGGATAATCTTCATGTATTGGCCTTCAGTCAGAGGTCACTTATGGGGCGGCTAATTCTAGGTTTTATTTGTATTTAGGTAAATAGGTTTAACTGGATGCATATACAATAGATTGCAGCATCTCTACCATATGTAGATATGAGAGCTTCTACTGTGACTTAATTAGGCATGTATTAGCTAGTGACTTAAAATGATCAGCAGAGGTACCTAAAGTATTGACAATTGAAAAGAGTGACCTGTAAATTTCTTTAATTTGGGGAAGGAAAAGTCCAACAATTACTTGATAAATAGTGGTTCTTTGGTTCCCGGTGATTCCTTCCTATTCCTTTGGAGCAGTAATTCTCAACCTTTCTAATGCCACAACGACCCTTTAATACAGTTCCTCATGTTGTGGTGACCCCCAACCATAAAATTATTGTTGTTGCTACTTCATAACTGTAATTTTGCTACTGTTATGAACAGTAATGTAAATATCTGTGTTTTTCGATAGTCTTAGGTGACCCTGACCCACAAGTTGAGAACTGCTGCTGTAGAGCTGAAGACCAGATGAAAACACAGATATTTACATTACGGTTCATAACAGTAGCAAAATTACAGTTATGAAGTAGCAACAACAATAATTTTATGGTTGGGGGTCACCACAACATGAGGAACTGTATTAAAGGGTCGTTGTGGCATTAGAAAGGTTGAGAACCAATGCTTTAGAGGCTTCATCACCCCATTAACAGATTTCAGTCTCTCCAGCCTCTTTATAGCCTAACTAGAGGCTCTGTGCATGAAATTTGTGCACAGGGTGGAGGGGGTGTCCCTCAACCCAGCCTGTACCCTCTCCAATCTGGGACCCCTCGAGGGATGTTAAACTGCCCGTTTAGACCCGATTCCACCGGACATCCCTCTCACAATCCAGGACTGTTGGCTCCCAACTGCTCACCTGCCTGCCTTCCTGATTGCCCCTAACCACTTCTGCCTGTCATCCTGATCACCCCTAACCACTCCCCCGCCAGCCTGATTGATGTCTAACTGCTCCCCTGCCAGCCTGTTTGCCCCCAACTTCTCTCCTCTGCCGGCCTGGTCACTCTTAACTGTCCTCCCCTGTACTGTTGATTGCCTCAAACTGCCCTTCCTTGCAGGCCTGGTCCCTCTCAACTGCCCTCCCTTACAGGCCTGGTGCCTCCCGTCTGCCCTCCCTGCTGGCCATTTTGTGGTGGCCACCTTATGTTCACATGGGGGCAGGATCTTTGACCACATGGGGGTAGCCAGCTTGTGTATTGGAGTAATGGTCAATCTGCATATTACTCTTTTATTAGATAGGACAGAGGCCTGGTGGATGGGTGGGGGCCAGTTGGTTTGCCCTGACGGGTGTCCCGGATCAGGGTAGGGGTTCCCTTGGGGCAAGGGGCGGCCTGGACTAGGGGCCTGTGTTGGTTTGCAGGCCAGCCACGCCCCCAGTGACCCAAGCGGAGGCCCTGATATCTGGAATTTATTTACCTTCAACAATTGAAACTTTGTAGCCTGGAGTGGAGACCTAGGCCAGCCAGGGCAGGTAGAAAGCTTGGCTTCCTCTGTTGCCAGGGGCTCTCTCCAGCTCTGTGGCTGCCACCATTTTTCTTGGGATTTATCTTCTTGAGCAGAGTGATCGTTAATTTGCATATTACTCTTTTATTAGATAGGATACCTGAAATGGAAGCGATCAGTGGGGTTTTACCATTTGAAATCGGCCCTCCATCATCCCCTTGACTTCCTTGCCTCTTGCTTCCTGACCTTCTCTCACATTTCCATTTTATGGCCTAACCTAAGTATACTTTTCTAAGTTTGAATCCTGAGAATCATCTCATCTACTTCTTCTATTCCCAGTGTCTGCTATATGCTCATTCATTTCTGGTAAATTGTGAAAATAAACAGAACCTGCCACCCCAAAATATGCCTCTTGGGCATATTGAATATCTTGGGTTAGTTACTTTTAAGAAACAGCAAACACAAAAGTCTGAAAACATATAAGGAATGTTTACATTAATTAAGCATTTCTAACTTTGTAAGGGTGTCTTCCTCTCTGTACTTAAAAGAAAAGGATGACTACATATCTGGAGACTCTTATCAGGGGAGAAGGCAAATCTGAATTATAACCTCAATCTTGTTTCGTGTGCTTTTCTTGGTAACCTCCCATAACTGGCTTTCTCCCACCCCTCAACATTTTCTTTTGTCCTTAGCTGGAGATGGTATTGAAGGGAGTGGTTTAGGCTATTTGGGGGAGTTACTCAGTTTTTCTGGGTACCCCTCAGTACAGGAGGCATACTTTCTATTTGTTTTTTTCTCTTGTTAATCTGTCTTTTTATGACAGAGGGGTCTCAAACAAGAACCTAGAAAGGTAGAAAGAAAGTTATTTTTCCTCCCCTACAACTGTAAACTTCTGGAAGAGAATGACTGTCACTCATCAGTGTATATCTTCTTCTACCAAGACTTACAATCCTTAAATGCCCAATATGTATTTACTAAA